TGACTCGCGACCAGATACTTGGGCCAAACGTAAACATAACAAGCCGAGCTCGCGGACTGTTTTTTTGCCCGTTACGATCGTGACTGAATGTTAGTTCTTGTTTACGAGCACCAATCTGGTCTGTTTATGGTAGCATGCGTCGATGTCTACCGCTTGGGTCCGAGTTTCGTCGAACTAAATGGCACGGGAAGGGGCAAATGACAGGCTAATTGAACAATCGTAGTACGATTTCTCATTGCCAACTATTTTTGTTGATACCTTTCATCGCTGTCTTTTACTTAAATATACTAACTGAGATTACTAACTAAAATGCTAATTTTCGTACACACCTTTCATATACTTTCGTCGATTCGTTAATAGCTACAAATATCCATTTGCTGCCTCTGATATTAAAATATTCCGGAATTTTGCAACACCATATTACATCTTATAAATTTATAATCACATAATTCTTGCTCATCTATAATCTCGCCGTAAACTAAAAATTTACTTTCGGAGGTTTATTTTGCAGTTGCCCATAAACCAGATCCTCTAAATTTCCTTAATTTATATTTCTGCGGCATTTTACGGTTTCGATAAAGAAAGTATAGTAACGGAGTCGACGTACCGCGTATGCAGCTTAACCGGATCTCTGATTAAAAGACTTACCTTCTCCTCCTTTCGGATCGGAGGTGCAAAAAACGCGCGGCTGTTAATGACGTCGTTACGCTCCATAAATTCTGCGATAACTGACATTAAACGGGTGTGCGTATGAAGTTTCGGAGCTGAAAATTGCGCGCCACGGAGAACGTTGCCAACGTTCAACACTCAAACTCGATTTCCGGGAGCTCAAACGAACCGGCTCCAGTGTTCCACGAGATGATAAAAGCTCGTCGATACTGGCGAACTGAAGGAAGAAAAATGCTGTGAGTAAGTTGTCAACAAGAGTGTTCGGGATTTGGAGTGGCCTTTATGACTCGGACAGCACCTCTCCCTTTTTTGGGAAAGCCCGAATTGCCTATTTCCCCAAGCTGTAAACCTTATGCTGCGGACATTATTAAGACATTAAAAAGACACCTTAAGTGTCAATGGGTCAGGGCATAGGGAAATACCTGGTAATACCAGAGGATATGCACCCCCGAGAGTACAGGTACATCGGGGAAAACCTAGGGGGAAGCTAAGGGGAAAGCGATAAGATCTTGGGACAATCTTCGTCAGAGCGTCCTACCGTTCGTGAAAAATTACATGTTCAGTCTCAACAAAATCGTACAATCGTCGTGATGAGAACATCAAACTCTGCATATATACTAAAAGTGCAAATAAAGTGCCAAATTACACTAGCACTCGATATATTCCATTTACTCCACCTTGAGCGTTAATTCATTCATAATGACTGGTCGCTAGTTAGTTGAGAATTCACAACAAAGAGAACGTTCGACGTTTCGTGATGAAAAGTGGCGACACGACGCGACATTTCGTATTATAATATTTTCGATGATGCGAGTTGGTTGAATCCGCTTTAGATGTCTGTTTCTCTCGCTATCGTGGATTGACGAAATGATCGGTTCTATGCGATGATCAGGGTGTTATATAATGAATTCGATTTATTAATTGTGAATTGATGGATTGGCGAGTACTGTAAGGTGCAGTCTAATGATTGTTGCGAATTGTTGGTTGAGGTGAATTAATCATTAGTTTATATAATGGAACAGTTGTCAATTGACTAGGATAGGAAAAGGAGTGCTACAAAATTTGTCATTTGAAAGAATTATATGTAAAGTATTCGAATACGTTTAAATAGTAGTATAAGTACATACTTCAAGAAATCGGATTGGATAAGATTTTTGATATTGTATATGTCAATTATAAGTATTCGTGTTGTTAGTTGTATATTATTGGTTACTTTTTGTTATGAGAGTAAGATTAATGAATGAGATATTGTTACGAGAAATTACTTAAGAAAATGGTTATTAACTGCAATTGATAACTTATAGGTGAACAAATGGATTACCATTCATGTCTTTTGATGAATTAATTATCCTCCCTATTTCCTACACAGACACATATATTAGTTTTCAAAGTAATAGGTTAATCGATTAAGATGAGAACACACGGACTGAATACATTTGTAAAATATCAATTTGTATCGTAGTCCTTATTTGTTGTATCGTAATTAGAAATCGATAAATTTTTGTTATGAATGATGGAAATATTAAACTAAATGGTTCACTTGGATTATTAAATAATGTTATCAAGTAATTCTATCAAAGCGAAGTATCTAGTAGGAAGTAGCGTGATACTGAATCAGGTGGAAATTAAAATTCTAACAGTCTCTGAAGTGTGAAAATAATCTTTGTTTGGAAGTACGAGGAAGCTTGTATACTCAAAGATATTCCGTGACAACAGAAGATTAGCTGTATGTCGATTAACTGACATTGATATTAATCAAGTCTGAGTTGATGTTGGTATTAATTAATCCACGTCCACATTTCAGCTGTCACTTTATTCTTAGACATTGGTCGCAGCCTAATTACAAAATTGTTGATCTTTTTTAGCGACAAAATATCTTCAGAATAGAAAACGAGAAAGAGTTTAATTCTCAAAAATCTTCCCGAATGTAATTTCCTTATGCTTAAAATTTTATTTTCTTCAAGGATTTTTACTAAAGGATTTTTATTTTAGAATTAATACACTTCGCTTATCATCGAAACAGAATATATTTATATTTTCTACTTGACGAATATTCTTCAAAACTATGACGATCGTAGAATTAGGCAGTAATCAAATACCATGAGGGTGAATTAGGAAATAACGTTTCCTCAGAGGGTTAAGAATATAGATTTAACATCGCGTCGCGTCGGTAGTGGATGTATAACATAGAACTGGAAGATTAACTATTGTAGGATTGAATGAAATGATTCTAAAAGTACTGACGAAGGGAAGCTACATAAGATGACACCTTAGTTTATTCAGAAGCTCCATTTTAACTCCTTCCCCTACTTTATCGAGTCAGACTCGCGATGAAGATTTTGGCCCAAACGTAAACATCGCGAGTTTGACTCGCGACCAGATACTTGGGCCAAACGTAAACATAACAAGCCGAGCTCGCGGACTGTTTTTTTGCCCGTTACGATCGTGACTGAATGTTTACGAACATCGGTCTGGTTTGTTTACTGCTTGGGCCCGAGTTTCGTCGAACTAAATGGCACGGGAAGGAATTGATATCCATTATCCAGTATCTATTTTAATACGTGTATTATGCAAATGTATGAATTGTAAATAATAACTAGTGATTTCTTTCAGTATGTATTATTATGATATGTTCTGGACCGAGAGAAGAACATTCATAAACATGTTAAACTAGAGTGTACATTTTAGGCTTTACTGGATTTTAAAGTAAGAACTTTTTTTGTTCTTTTACAGGAAACTTTTTCGTTGCAGTTAAAGATTTTCTCTGATCAGTGAAACGAAGTTTTCGTACATTGAAAAGCTTTTTATAAATTGAATCCTTTTTTAACGTTAAATCGATGTCTTTTGTGCAAATCACGGTTGGCTTACTATTATCAAGATACATTTCTACCAATCACTCGGTAACTTTTATCTTATTTATATAATAAAGATTTATTAAACTCTGTACTTCTAAATGTATCTTTTCGATATTTTCTTAATTTCAAAAAGATCGTTAGAAGATAAATTCTTTTGTAACGTTAAATCCTTCATGCACATCACACCAGACCAATAACTATCAAAATACATTTTAATAATTGACAAGTACTAACTATTTAGTTATTCAGTTATTCATTTCATTTCATTTACTATAAAATGTGGATTCTATCGCAGACATGTCCATTTGTGTCTCGTTTAACGTACATCAGTCCTCAATCATCGCTTTCAAATCCATTTTCTGTATCAGCAGGTTCTCTTTCCATACACAGAGATCTCGAAATATGCCCCGAAATACATCAAAACGACACCCGTGTAAACCACCAAGCGACATGAGTCCTCGGAACTCGCTATTTTACCGCACGATACACGTTATCTCGTCATACGTCAACGGCGTCGAGTTCGTCATATTCATCATATTCTCCTCGTTAAGTCGACTCCTCTTCATTTAGTAGCAATGAAATGTTGTCAATTTTCACGTTTTCTATACTTATTAGGAAAACATAGGAGAAAGTAATAGAGATGAAATAAATTTACTCGTGTCAGACCGTGATTTATTCGGCTGATACGATGAAATCAGTTTATGCAAATATTATCGCAGTCGAATTGGTTTGGCAACACGCCCGGTCGCGCGTGCTACTGAATCTTGCAACGACGACTCGGATTTCTGGCGCATTAGTTTTGGTGTTACGGCGCGAATACAACCAGGGAATGTAGCCTAAAATTTTCGTCTAGGGAAGATTTAAGGCCCCTATGCAACGGCAAATAATTAGGACGAACGTGTTTTGGCACATGACTGTGGACGTTTAGTAACACGCCACCGGGCGAAATCGAGATTGATCGCCGTAAAGGGTCGTCATTGGCGTCTAGTCGATCCGATCGATAGATTTTTTGAACTGGTTGTCGTTGAATCGAGAATAGTAGCGCAGTAAAGTTATGAAGAATACTCTGATTTTTTCAAAAATTATCAGTGAATTTTGTTTTTAATTTGCATTGAGATTGCAAGGGGTCAAATATTTTTTTGGTATCTTTATTTCCTATAATTATCATAACAAATAATTTTCTTTCTATATCATGAAATGTAAAAGAATATAGAATTGAACAATCTCAGAAGAAGCTATAAAGTTAGAAAGCTTATTTTGTAATTTCCAGAGAGAAATATATACTTGTTCGATTTTGTCTTTGCGATTCGATTAATATCGTCATAAGATAAAAACGATATTTATATACCCCTTATCCTAATTTTATTTTTGAAAGAGTTGATCCGTAAAAAGTTATTTTATACTGCTTCGTTTATTATCGCATGATTATAAAGAAAAACATATAACATATCTAGAAAACATTAATGCTTCTACATTTTTTTCTCTCATTAATATACCCTACACGCTTTTCATAACGATAGAATCAAATAAAAGACCATTATATTTTCGAACGGTCTCACGTCGTAAAAGATCGACTTGTTAATCATGAATCTCGCGAGGGTAGAACCAGCACTCGGTGCCATTAAAAATCATTCACAGTTCGTTAGCCCGCAGGCGACCGAGCGTAATGAAGATCCAAAAGACGAGATGTCGGAGAATCGACGTCTTGCCCGCGTTGTGAGAGCGTTTTGGCACGCGCGAGTATGCGAATGCGAGATAATGCGAACGCGTCTAATGAAGCAAATAAAAGATGAGCGCAATTAGCGCGACGGCGTACCCGGCATTTTTTATTATCCTCCAGTCGTGTGCATGTCGGAACAGACACACGAACGTTCGGCTTCCCGCGGAAATTAATGATCCGCTTCCTAACCCTCTGGGCTACGTCGTGATGAACACAGTGACGAATCGTCGAGTTCATTCAAGTATGTGCTCGAGGAATTCAGTGAATTAACATTCGCCTGGTATCAGAGTGGGCCGCGTTCCACGAATTTTTCGTCTACCATGGAACAATGTTCCATGGTGGCTGTTACACGCGTTTAATGACCCACCGACATTCCCAAAGGGGCTTTCTTCGGTTCATCTTTCTGATGTTTCTTCGTCTTGATGGCTTTCAACATTCCGAAAACGGTTCTCTTTCGTTCGTATTTTGATAAGCTTCTTTAGGTTAATTGCCCGTTCTTCTTCATTACATAGATGCTTTTTTTCTAGATTCTAAGGAACAACTTTTCATTGAAATATTTTGGAAAATGTGGATTACGAAATAAATTTTAAGAGATAGATAATATTATGGTTCCTCTCACACAATTATGACAAATAAAAAGCATAGAAATATTTAGAGAAATACAATATAAAACATAATATAAAAAATATAAAAGTAAGAAGATAAAAATCTACTCGCATAAAATTATTATGTACTTTTGAGGATTAGAGTGAAACGTTAATGAAGAATAGAATGAAATTGAATCATGGTCGTAAAAGGAGAACATATGTTCCCTAGTGAATGAACAAAATTAAAAATGTTAACCACGCGCGTGTTTTCTCTTTTACTGCTTTAATTAATCCAAGAATAGCGTCAGCGTTTACACTTGTAATTTAGCTTTTATTACATTCATCACGAAGACAGTTGCTAGAAATGTAAGTCACTTTACATCCACGTACATTCTTTTATAAAATTAAAGTAATTAGAATGAAGCAGATAAACAAAGCAAAGCGGCTTCTTTATCTACCCTTAATTATTACAACGAGCACTTTACTTACGATGTAATAGGAGTTTGACATATTTTTTACATTAAATTCTATATATCGTTGTACCACTAAATTTCTCATATAAAACATATTCGCAACATAATTATTAATATAATTTATCGCCATTAAACCCGTATTTTAATAATATAAGAATAAAAAATTCAACCACGATTCTAATTGCTTTAATAAAAAAAGAAACAAGATACCATATCGAAAAATAATTTCACCGCTCCACATGAAAAATGAAACTTTGAAGGATCATAAAAAGTATAACGAATAGCACGTAGTGCTTCGATTCCCACGGTGGGGACTAAATACCGAGACGACGAGAATTAGCAACTTAATCTGCCGAGAGGGAATGAAACTTGACGAAATGGAATGAAAACGGCCATCGATGGAGAATTTGTACGAACGATCGGTCCGATATTTTGCGGCTTCGCGAGAACTGGAACGTCGACAGTTCTTACTTCTTTTTCACGCTTCCGCGTCGGCAATGATCGATAATTCATGCACACTCGATTGACGGTGCCGCGGGCTGGTCTCTCCCTTAAAAAGTGGAACATCAGTCGAAGCTGTGTGACAGCAGAAAATCTGAAATCGATATTCCGACCGCTTGCTTCTCCGACTCGCGAAACTCGCGTATCCTCGATTCGCTTGAAAGAACCTCTTATCCGCGAGATCAAAGCGAGAACAAAGATTCCTGATAATGTGGATGAGTGTATACCCTTCTACAAGACTCTTTGAATTTATTCCGACGATCGTCTTGGTTCGTTTCGTCGGCTTCTTTTGTACAATTACCGTATGCTTATGGCGAATATGAATGAAAAACGAATAGGATATTTGTGCGTTTGATAATGGTATACTGCAGGAATTTTCATTTGTGCTTCTTTGATCTCGATGAAAAAGGTTTTGGTGATGTTGGCACATGTAGTAAAAGATAAATGAATACATCAGAACTCCGTTTATATGGTCTTTTCGGAAGGCAAATGAATCTCTCAAAAGTTATACCGATTATCTCTATCTTTTATAAAGCTATCGATTTCACATTGTTCAAGTACATGATTAACCCCTTCCCGTGCCATTTAGTTCGACGAAACTCGGGCCCAAGCGGTA